AACATCCGTGCCAATCCTCCTCTTTTTTGCTGAGGAAGACTGGCCCTGGGCTAACATCTGTGCCCATCTTCCTCCACTTTATATGGGACGCCGCTACAGCATGACTTGACAAGCGGTGCGTCAGTGCGCGCCTGGGGTCCGAACCCGGGCCGCCAGCAGTGGCACGCGCACTCTTAACCGCTGCGCCACGGGGCTGGCCCCTAGGAATATATTTTTTTAGATAAGCAGAATTGATGGGGCCTACCACCTGCTTCATTTATAGAATCAGCCTGTTTTACTTGTCAATAAAATCCAGTTGAATTACTGTGCCCTCTGAAATTATAAAATGCAAGAAATATCGTTCATGAAAGAGATATTCTCAGTAACAAAATCTGAATACTAATCTACTCAGAAGTGTTACAGTGGTTCATAACATTGTTAAAACTTTTCAAATATGTGAACTATCTAATACAATGTGGATAATTTTGTATACATAATCCTTTGTTCAACCTAATCATCAGTTACCCAGTTTGGTTGAATATATTCATTTTCATTGGCTAAAACAATTAATTTAGAAAACTTGCCCTTTTCTGTTCCTATACTTTTAAAGCAGCCAATCTAAAATGAAACTTAAAAAAATTAATTTATAGGCATTTAGAAACTACACTTAAGTGGTCTGCAAGGTGGAAGGTGACTTATTTTTCACTTGACACATTTTATCATGACATTGTTTCTGTCCCTCACATCTCATTCTTTCATTTAACATTTTTGTGAAGACAGTTGAGTATTTATTAATATTTTATAGATGTATGTAATATCTCCAACTTTTAAAAAAAGCAATGTTTCTGATGAAGAATTGTTTGGAAAGAAGAGGAAAGAGGATAGAAACAACCTTTGGGGCTTGTGATTTCTATCCTTGTCTTCTAACATTAAGAAAATGGATTACTATCTATACTCTGCCAGTGATCAAAAGGAGAGGGAAATAATATATGTATTGTCTGTTGACATGAACTTAGAATTAAGATTTGTGGAGTTCTAGACTGAGTGATGCTACAGACTGGCACGTCACCTTGAGCATTACACTTAACCTCCAGGACTCTCCATGTTCTTATCTTTTCAGTGGGAAGAGAGAAGGCAGTTACCGTGCCCTCACTCACAGAGGACATCGTAGGGGTATGTTGTCAGTGCTTTTTAAAAGCATTGGGGAAGGACAAAATGCAAGCAAATACAAAGTAAACATTAGCATTTAGAAATGGATGTTTATCATTATTTAAAAATGATGACTTTTTAGATCTTTTGTCTGAAGGGCATTTTTCCTTTTGACTTTATATTTGAAGAGACCTATTATTGGTATGTTCACAAAAATGTATGAAGTATCTTTAAAAGAAGCAAAGAACTTTGGTTTAATTGAATGGGATTTTAAATGAGTTTTGGTACATCCTGGGTTATAGCAGATGTTGATGTTGTAAGAACAAACTATGTATCTAGAGGATAATATATTTTATTAAGTTAAAGCTTGTAAAACTTGCACTTGCGTTGCAGGAAAAAATGTTCAGATATATCAGATTCCATTAGAAGTATATTCAAAGAGAAAAATTAATCATATTATTTACTTTTAAATTTCAAAAGGATTACTTGGCTATAGGACTCTTCCTTATACTGATTTGTTTTGTATCTTGAATGCAGTGAAATGTGCACATTTCAGAATATAGAGGCTTGGAGGATTTCATTTATTTCAGCTAATCTTTTATTTAGGGAGGTGAGTGAAGACACATGTGGAAAGGCTGTATTTTAAGAAACAGTTTTTTTCCTCTTGTCCCTAAAAATCAGTTAGGAGTCTTTAAAAGTCAAAAGCTCAGAGTTAGCACATTATGTAAGTTTTTTTGAATTCAGCTTTACCT